ACATGTTAGAAAAATACAGTGAAAACCTAGGAAAATGTTATAACTAAAAATGCTTTAAAAATATAATGAAAACCAAGACAATGTCAACGAGCGGAAACGTTGAGCAGGAAATCCGATTTGGTTTCTGTAGATAATGTTAGATGATGAGCAATGTAGTTTGGTGATAGGAAATAGTGGCTGCCTCGCGTACAAGACATTGCCATGAAACCTTGGAGCAAGATGCGGATGATATAGGAAAAAGATGTATGAGTTGTAAGATTTTAGGAGTTGCATGGGAAAATTTGTTTCATGGTAATCTGTGTGAAGTTAGAAAAGTGTGATTTCGTTCACAGAGTAAGAAAAATAAATACAATCTGCAGATTAGAGTATTTATAATGCTTAAAGCTGTTTGACGTTTTTTGGTGCCTCCCTGATTCTGGTAGTTTTGTGATAAGAACTACAAAAAAACGATCTACTGGTAAACGGAAGGAATAGTCTTTCCGGTTTAGAACTGAGTCGACTGTCAAGTGATGCATAGGCTCCAGGCCTCTGGTTATTGCCACAAAGCATTGGAATGAAGATTGCGCCCAGGAGCCACCTAGGTTAGGAGACAAATGCTGTAATATCATTGTAAGAGGCCGTACTGAGAAGGCTGAAACAGAACTAAAAGTGAATCTTGTACTAAAACATCGAGAAAGAATTCGAATCTTCTAATGGCAATGACGGGAATGATATGCATCTGTACGTCCGTGATAGTATGTGTGCCTTTTAAAAGGGATGTTTGGCGAGTGTGATAGCTGAGTAGATTTTCCGGGATGCCAAACAATTATCTCTATCGATGTCAGGGATGATGCTATTCCGCGTTCCTGTAAAATACCTATTTTCCAGACCCTTGGGGGGTGGGGGGGGGTACCCAGGCCTGTAAATGGCCTAAATATAAATATATATAATTATATATATACTTTTGATTTGGACTGCATGTTCGCCACTGTTCTATATTTCCCGTGGGTTTTGTATTGTTTTCCTCGATTTTCATTCGTTCTTATACCCTTTCTTACGTATTGGGTTTGCACTGCCCATTTTGCGAGTAGAGCTATGTTTTGATTTCTCACCCTACGGCCAAAATGTTGCGGAACTTCGCAGAGAAGCATGGACCACGATTCTGGGGAGAGAACAATTTAGACTTTGAGAGGTCACATGACCACTGTTCACACAAAAAAGCGGGTATAATTTATCTACAATAGGTGGGAGCAAACTTGCGCTGTTTTAAGATAAATGAGCAACCAAAGGCGGATTTATGGAACTTGAGATAGAACTGTTCACAATGCCGCAGTACCTTGTAGGAAACATATTTGGATATAGAACTTACAAAATCGTGGAGTTTACCCTAAAAAGGTCCATTTAATGATTGGAAAATTATGACCCGATAGCAATTGTTTATGTTGGGGCGCTTCATGTTTGAGCCATGCCATATGGATGAGGTGGAGTTTCACGCGCCCCCGCCCGAGTCAAAAAGCAAGCGCTGGCTTTCGTTCCACCCCTTCTCAGGTTTTGTTTGTTTCACAGTAAGATATACAGTATTCATCAGTGTTGAATTCGGTCGTGGTACTATCAGGCAATACTGGCAATGGCTGGGCACTTGCATCATTTATGTACATGGGCTACACACTTGATCCGTGACGAATCAGCAAATTCCATGCCACAAAAAAATGATTGCAGAAAACGGTTATGGTTAAGGTTATGGTAAACCATATTTAAATATGTTTAACCATCAGGGTTTCTATACTAATTAGACCTTTGGCCATCTTATTGTCCTCTAGAATGCGGTCTTCGAAGTGACAGTGTTCAACCATCACGGCTAGTGGCTAGTGGATCGATCTAGTGAGAAACCATGAGAAACCATGAGAAACCATCTCGAAACAAGGGAGAACTGAGATTTGCGGTTCAAGCGTGGTGCATAAGCTGTCAGATTGATAGCAGGTTCCAAGAAACTAACTCCCTCGGGTGAGCTGTGTCCAGTTCAACCCATGCTGATGGTAAATCTTGTGGCTATGTGGCTGTTGTGGGTTGAATTTCCATGAATTCCATTATATTCCACTGGCATTTCAGTGATTTCAGTCACGATTTCTGGATTTTTTTTTTTCCCATTCACCAACAGCCCAGGTGGGGGTGGACAGCTTTGGTCTGGGTATTCTCGTGGGCGTCTTCGGGACGATATCAACGATTGCCGCAGTGCTGCAGGGAAACCCGGCTCGGCAGGGACCCGTTTTTTTTGCTCGTTGATGGTGAAACACATCGATTTTAGAGGATTTTGGAACATCTAAATGACATTAAATGACAAGCATGAGGCATTTTCACGAACATCTTTTTACTTTCCACCCATTCAATATATATTAATATATTCAATCACCCGATATGACCTACCATTTTGGAGATTTCAATTATTTTGTTTCACCAATACCCGGCCTTTAACCATTTTTTGGGTGGATCATGCCTTTACCCAGCCTTCCACCGCCAGGTCCATCTTCGTTGACAATTTGCGTGGTGTGGACCTAGAGGGTGGGAACGCCTTGGCTTCTTCCGGCGGTTTTGTGATGCCGAACTTTTTCTTCCAGGCGATTTTGGTTACGGCGGTTACGGTACCCGGTACTATCCGGTACTGTATGCTGAAAACTCGACATTGAAAATGGAGGCGTTTGAGAAGCTGAAAGTTGTAAGTGGCTACCTTTGAGCACGTTTCAGCACAGTCGATGAATGCACTGTCCACATCTGCCAATTTACAGTTCCTGCCATATGCCACGAGTCCGCACCGTGGCAGGGAGCCAGGGATATCTTCAGTAACGTCCGTCAGGACGCCGCAACTTGGCTATCGATACATCGCCGTCGCCGGCTGACGAACGGGACGAACAGGACGAACTGAACCGGTTCAGGACGTTCCACGGCCTGCTAAGGCACAGTCCACACAAAGATTCAAGGAGACTGGGCGTAACACGTCAGGTTTCCAGCTTTGGCATCACGTTTGTTGGGATATCCGAGGTTGAAGCTATCAGGAAATGTTTTGAGAGTTGATGAATTCAGTAGTGTTGAGTCACCACTTCCTTTCAAGAATTGCATTAGAATGGTAGCGATTTTGTGAATACATGGACAGGATGAAACAGGACATGTTGGCACTGTTTTTCAGTTTTCCAGATTTTTTTTTACGGTCAGCAACTATGCACATACCCACATACCCAGATATACCCAGAGTGAGAAGGAGCGCGAGGCTTGCTACTGTACATGTACCTTACCATTCCTGAATTGAGATGAAGAACAAGAGAAAGAGAACTGCATGATATTGCCTCGAGTCAGAAAGCTGCGTGTGTTTGTCAGTTGACAGAGCAGTTGGAACAGGAGACAGGAAGATTTGCTGAGATCTATGCCGGTAGCTTGTCTACAGCAAATCTAGCACTGTCGCGCCATGCATAAGGAGACACGAGAAGAACGAGACACAGGACATCACAGGACACCTCAAATTTCATCTATGACAGATGTTCAACTTTTTTCACCACCAGGTTAACCTGGAATATGTTTGTAATATTCTATATATATATGTATATTATAATATATATATATATTGTATTATATTATATTTATACATATGTATATATATATAATATAATATAATATAATATAATATAATATAATATAATATAATATAATATAGTATAATACAATATAATATAATATAATATAATATTATAGTATATAACAGTTTAATATAATATAATATAGTATAATATAATATAATATTATATAGTATAATATAATATAATATTATAGAATATAATATAAACTATTATATTATACAATATAATATAATATAATACTATATTATATTATATTATATTATATAGTAGTATAATATAATATAATATTATTATATAATATAATATTACATTATATTATATATATATTATATATATATATATTATATATATATATACATGGTACCAGTCTGGGAGCAAACCTACATCGCGTCTCAGCCCAGGTATAGAGCGATCGCAGGAGATGGCGATGTTGCGAAGTATCGATGCACTTCGGGAGCAGGTGCCACCTGGTGCCACACGTGAAATTCTTTTCAGCGCCTTGGCAGATGAAAAGAACCAACCCGCCTTTTTTTAAAGGACCCCCAAAAAAGAATGTGTAAATATGTGTAACTTGATTTATACATATTTATAACCCGATTTCACAAACAAACAGAAGGAATCATGAGGATGGTTGGGGGCCTTTCATATCCTTTCATGCTTGGACAGAAAGGGGGTAAGGCTCAAGGGGTGAAGGCTCAAGGTGCCAGCCTGTTTAGAAATGTGTAATGGGTAATGGAGAATGCAGTAGTCAAGAAGTAATCATATCATTTCTTGAGAACGTCTGGCATGGAGTAGATGCTTTTGTTGCTTGAATGGGCCAACAGACATCTTGGACGGTTAAGCTTGCAAGTGTGAATCGAGAACCTTTCAACATACTTCCATAGTCAGTGCCTTAGTGTGCTGGTTGAAAACTTGACCATCATGGGAGTTATTAAGGACCTACTTTCTACCATCAATATCCATCCCTATGAGGGGCTTAAGCCCACATTAAACTTCCATCCTGAGGCTTGTTGCGTCGTGCCGCCCTGTCGAGTTCGCAGTTGGGAAGTGCCTTGTACGACTTTGCACTGCGTTTGCAGGCTGGGACTCATGCCCGGCCCCATGAAGCAGGATTGGAATTCTCAGTCAACTGGTCAAATATGATTTAATTAACTAGATAAACTTGAGGTCCTGAGGTGTATAATGAGACACATGACACATCATGACACAATAGTATGTTCACAATTACGTACATATATATATATATATGTATCTATATATACATATATATAATATAATATATATATATATATGCATAGTATAATAATATATATATATATATTATACATATCTGATCTCATCTGATGTGACCACAGGATCTGCATCTTTGCCAGGCCAAAGAGCCCGCCCGACATCGCGAGGCGCCGGAAGCGCTTGCGTAGCGCTTGCGTAGCGCTTGCGTGGCGCAAGCGTGGCGGGGTGTGGCAATAAATCGATAGCCATGTTTATTTCATGGTTATCCATGATGGGGTAGTTACGGGTAGTTATGCTAATCTTTTTTTGATATGTTATAGATACATGCATATATATATATATTACATGTGATTATAAGCCATGGGCATACCCATGGCGCAGGTGAACCACAACGTCTTCACTAAGCCACCAAAGCTTCAGACTGGGGAAGTCCATTGGATCGATGCCGCCAGGATGTTGTGGAGATCCTTGATGAACTTTGGGCTTTGGATGAGGGACGCTGTGCAGTCAGTGCCAGGTTTCTTGCCAGCGGCTGCCAGCGGCTGCCAGCGGCTACGCTTCAGAACCGACTTCAAAACGGATTTCTTGGCCACATCCCATTCGTTTCCTATTCGTGCTTTTTCCTTAGTAATGCTTCAGCTTCTACACGTATTATGTTTGCTGAATCTCAATGTATGTCATATATATATACATAGATCTTTTGTTGTGACTTGTACCATATCTCATGTGTACACATATAAATATATATATACATACATACATACATACATACATTACATTACACTACACTACACTACACTACATTACATTGCATTACATCACATTAAACCAGCAACAAAAACTATCAACCTCTAAAAATCCTAACTTTAGGCGTCCGGGAGAAGGTGGACGAAGACCCTGGCTGGATGCGGATGCTGCGCCTCGGTTCCACCGAAACGAAACATGGGAGATCGGGAGGGCCTGGCTGCATCATCTCAGAACAAATGATGGCCACCATTCTCCATGCTTAGTGTTTTTATATAAGTGTTTTTTTTTTTCCGGAAGTCACAAAAATCCAAGTTTTGAATAGTTTTGAGGTATCTATCGTTTTTAGCTTGGCTCAAAGTTTGTGTACGCCACAGTAAAAACATGGTTTGATACCCGCAAACCCTCAATGGGAAGCATCATGAAGCATCTGTCAGTTACAGGATAGTACAGGCATCCCTTCTTTCTTTGCAGCACTGAGCCCGCATGCCCAAATTCACATCAACTCAAACCCCAGGACGATTGGGGACGATCCTTTACTGGTTGCCCATGGGATCCCATGGGTTTTGGTTCTTGGCCCTTTCTTCAGGATATTCTTTTGGATGAGCAGGTCCCAGCGCTACGGACCACTCTGGCCGAGCCCCTCGGTTCGAGAACTCCTGATGTTGGAAGTTGAAATGCCCTGGAACCCTGTGTTGGACAGGGGTGTAAGGCCAAACCTCGACATGTTCACTCCAGAATGCCACCTGAATCTGTTTAGTGCATATGTATGCATATGTATGCATATGTATGCATATGTATGCATACGTATGCATATGTATGCATATGTATGCATATGTATGCATATGTATGCATATGTATATATAATATCATATGATATGTACAGACACATACTAGTACAAAGTACAATTTCTTATCTACCGATGTATCTATGCGAGAATATGTATGAATATGTATATACGTGCACATAATATTATATATATACAGATTATACAGGAGCAGATGACGCAGATGGGAAAAGATACTTTACCCCATCTATACTCATCTATTAAGAAATGATTAGAAATGTCTAGAGTTTATGTTTGTTTTTACTCTGCTGCCTGCTGCTGCCGGTCGCTGAGGTGTGCCAAGAGGCCTCTCTTCGCTTTTGTGGCTCCAGAGATCTTAGCTCGTCCAACTTTCCTGACTTTGGTCAGGATCTTCGATGTTTCTCGCTGTGGTGAACACATGGTTTTCAGCAGCGCGGTGGCTGAAAAACCATGGCATGTGAAACGTCAGAAAGACGCGGTTGTTTCATCGGCGAAGTTCCATGGATTCTGGCGGTGAATCCAACTTTCATTTGACGTTTGCTCTCGTATCTTGTGATGGTCTTCGTCATTTTCCAATCACCAGGAGCAGCCTTCTCTGCAAAATGTCCCGTGACCATGGATAGACCAGCATCCCTGATGTTCAATCCGAGCTCCTTTGTGTTTAGGATCATATGAGACATTTGCATCTCTGGTGGTGTTTTCAGGTGTTTTTCATTTTCAAAATAGAAATTGGATGATGATCCCCAATGACTTTCCTATTTTTCAGGGTTTCCTATTTTTCAGGGAGGTGGCTCAATCACCAACCACGCATACAAGTGCAGTCATTTGCAAGCCATTGTTACAGATTTTGCAGGTTTTTCAGCCTGCAGAAGCCAGTCAAGCAAATGGCAGAGGCTTGGCTCGTGATTTTTAGCGGGTTATCACGGTTAAGGTGGGTCAATGTGGGTCAGGACCATGGCAATCTGGATACACTGGGGGTGAAAATTTGGTACTCCAAACAATCTGATGGTTGATGCATGTCAAAACCAAAGATTGACCAAAAGCTGTCGGTCTTCAGGGTTTGAATGTTAACCCACAGCCAACTCTATTTTCCATAGCCACAAGGGCGC